AGCCATTACCTAGAAGTTGCAGCTACTTGTTATAGATGACTGAGTGAATGTCGCCCCCAACCCAAACTTTCAGACAAGCCACAATAATGGCTGGGATGTCCACTCTGAAAACTACCAAAATGCTAGAAAACAGAATGCTGAAATTTCGACTGATTTTCAGGTGAACATTCTCGGGAAACTTGACCAAATTTTGAGCATATTTGTTGCTCACCTGTTCTCTGCGGACTGTGGCATACTGGGAACAGCGTGCCCACTGTGTTCCTGTAGAAGGCATTCAGAACCTGTCGCCTACGTGAATGGGTCAAAGGTCGTCTGTCGGCGGCGCTGCCTTCTTGTATGGGCAGGCGGCAGCTGGAGAGGCACTTGTGTTGGTCAGTGTGGACAAGCAGGAACCTGGCACCAGGAAAAATGAACCCCCCCAAAAAAAGCTGATTACATGTATTGAACATTACTTTTCCAAATATGGCAGCCTCGGTTAAGTATCGATCATGCATGTCAAGGTTGCACATGCCTTCATTAGCTAATTAGAGATCTATTTTCAGTGATACCACCCGTCACATGTTCAACACTCACGCAGCAGATTTGGAAGTAACGGTATCTAAAACATGGCACATTGACGCTCAAAAAGGCAGGGGGAGAATACATAAAATGACATAAAACGGCTAAAACGACAAATGTTGTAGAACATTTTCAAAGTTTTACCCCATCAATCAGTTTGAAACGAGTGGCTAAGACTTAAGACCCCAATGGTGGATCCAGATATAAAATGTTTTGGGGGGAAAAATGGCCACAGCTTCTTTATGTAATCTTTGTGGTCTTCTGAGGGGATGAAGGTGCATTGTGGGACTTTTACAAGCTTTTCGGAAGGAAAGCAAAAAATCATCTTTTTCTCATTATATTTCAGAACCCCAAAAAGATATATTTCCCCCCTTTTTTTGGGTTCCCTGGATAGGCCAATGATTTACCCCAGATAGATTCATCTAGTGTTTTCAGCATCTGGAGAGCAATGAAGGAGGAAGCGTGTCGCCAAGAATTTGACTCACCCAAGAATGCCCGAGTCCATGATGAGTGTCTTTGGTACGTATTGGCCGTTGAGCGAGGCCTTCTGGCAAGCACGGAGCGACTCGACCTGAGCCCGCCATGCGGGCTCGACTAAGGTTGTCTGAGCTTCGGCCAAAGTGGGTGTCTCTAAACACAGCACGCTCACGATGACGCCTGGGAGGAGGCTGATGCTGACCAGACGGTGAGGAATCTATAAGGGATTTCGTGGTCAGAGTCGACATCAAGCAGAAGCTACCATTACCGTTAGCTTGTTTGAGGTAAGGCGGACACAGTAGGAGGGTACGCGATATTGCGCATACATCAGGTGTACAAATAACTATGTTCGTGACTTTCCAAAACAGCGACTGTGCTTCACGGGAAGTATCAAAGGCACAACGAAGGCATATCCACTCTCGCACCAGCAGTTTCCTAGCCAGCCTGTGATGTCATACCTCATACAACCTCTGATTGGCAAGAACATGCAGTCTCAGTGTGGTATCTTTGGAAAATTGCTCTAGTTTCTAAACACGCCCTACTGGCCATCTGGATCAAATAAATAATCCAGTAGGAAACCACTTTGTTTGACACATTGCACGGCATGAAATCCTGTTGTTGCTAAGTCTGTAAATGGGCTCTCCAGTGGATCCATACTTAGCCAGTTTGATACTGTCAAAATCCACTTCTTGGATGGTCATCTATACGCTTTGTTCAACCTAACAGCCGTTGCAGTGATTATTTTTCAGTACTGAAATTTATCAAAAGCCTCAACCTCGTGTCCCGTATTGGAATCAATCAACAAGAACCAATGGTGGCAAGTTTTACCTTGGGACTAGCCTGCGGGAGGTAGATGGGCACGTCGCTGGAGGTGCCCGCGGGCAGAGTCCTGACAAAGGCTGCCAGGAGCATCATCTCCTGACCAGTCAGACTCCACCACTTGTCGGTGGCTGCCACCAGCCGGCCATCGCAGTGCAAACAGCCAAAGGTGCTGTCGGCGCTGTTGATGAAAGCGTCCAGAGGCTCCTGAATGTTGCCAGGGGATATCAAGCGCAAGAAATAATAAACTAATGAGAGTAATTCCTCACCATACTGATGTGAAGGGGCTTCTCAAAACTCAGTAACAGAAGCCTCAGGAGATTTTGGTTAGCTAAAGAAGACAATAGGTTTTTCTTATCGCTTGTTAATCAAAGAATCACAAAATTGTAGGCGAACTTTAAGTTGAAATTAATGTTTCACCTGTGGTCCTGGTTTAAAATATTATGTTCATTCAGGCATTTTCTTACATCGCATTGACCAATTATCATGCACATAATCGTGTACAACAGAGTCATCTGCTTCTCAATGAGTTTAGGAAAAATAACAAAATGTATCCATGAACACAAATTACATTTTAGCCTGAATGAGTTCATCTCACCTTCTTTCTGTGTGGTCTTAGAATTCCACGGTATGGTTTAGGATAGTGAGGGAATACGAACCACAAGGTGGCTCAGGCCACTTAGACAACTGACAAATCAACAGCAGCCCCTCAAACAGGACAACAGTCTACTTTCGGTATGGAGTGCTCGGGCGTATGTTGCACCATTTTTACTCACAACGTCCATATGACGCCCCTTTTGAATCAACAAGCTATATGAGTGAAGCGAGAGCAAGTATACATGATTAAGTGCAAGCAACCTTGCTTTTGATACTGTGACAGTCAAATAATACGTGATCCTCATCTGTCCAGTCTTAAAGGAATGTTCACCCTCCTCCCAACAAAAACCGGTAAAGTGCACTTTGGAAGAGTCTCTCACCCCCCTACCTCCCACCCACCGACTCGTTAAATGCTCTGTTACACCACACCTGCAAGGTGGAATTCTCTGGACAGGCCAGGACATCAACAGCTTCGCACACTCCCCCAAAGAACTCTGAGCTGGCTAGGAGAAAGTCGATGACGCCAAAGCACGCCTGCAGGCAAGCACAGAAGTACAATACATCCAAAATGGAATATTTTCTACACATGACAAACGTCAGTCCATTAATTAAGTCCACAAAATAACTGGATTGATCATTTACATTCACCTTTATTTAATTCTTTTTTTTTTCAACGTGGATACAATTACTCTTTCTACAGTTGTTATTTTGAACTGATCGTATGAAATTGCCATTCCAACACAATGGACACTATTCACACAGAAATGAACTGTACAGGCTGAACATTCTCACTGAATTTGAAACTTGGAGGATAGGGGAATATTTTGAAGACGATTCAATGACTCAGTGCTTTCAGCAGAAGTTATTTTGAGATGAAGATTTTTGGGGGATGAACTAAAACATTCAAATGTCCTTGAATATGCTCTGCTGTATAAACTCACCTTCAGGTCTCTCCTTAGCCGTTCCACATTCTTTATGTTTTCTAGAGTGTCTAAGCCAATGAACATCACCTACAATTAGAGCAAAGTACATGCACACTTCATTTCAACCCTGATTACTGGAAATTCATGGTGAAAACCCCCTCTTTGGTGAAAGGAGGTATTTTGATGGACACAGGAATGCAGTACCAGACCATCGATATTTCTCATAATTCGTGACGTCTTCATTTTGAGTAAAGTGCGCGAGATGGCTAGTGAATTNTGGATTTTGGGGAAGATTTAGAAGGCATCCGCACAACCTGTTACTCCCTGAACACCATAATCATGATGACTAGGAAGTGGTCTTAGTTTCACGGTCCCTACATGACCAAGTACAAATAGTAATTCCCTTCTGGACTGACTATAAAAGCAAGTTTTGGTCTTTGGGTAAGATCCTGGGACAACCTCATTCAGTCCCTGGAAACATGACAAACTTGTCTTGGTTTCATTCCAAGTGGCTGACATGCTCAACAAAGTTGGCTTAAGTCTGGTTATTAAACCAACCTACCATGGCATGAAAGACATGATCAAGTAACGTATTCAGATGGACGTCGCTGCACCCATCCTCTGGCGTTATTAGCACCAGTGTCACACTACAAAGGAAAACACAAAAAGTTCTTTGCGACTTCTAAAGGACACAGACATCTACAGGCATTTTTGTCAAAGTTTTAAAACTTTTACAGTTTTGCGTACACACTCTTTCACTTTGAAACTATAATTATGCACATACATGTAGCAGTAAAATGATAAGGTCTATCTATGTACTTTCGGAAATATCTATGAAAAGTCTGCTAAAATATTTCACATCAGTTACTTTCACAGGCAAAGTATGAGATCAAACACAGTCACCCCAAAATTGTCAGAAACCTCTCCTGTCACCTCTTTGTCAAATGATCTGTACAGGTAGAAGCCTCATTATGGGTTTATACCTGTTATGGAAGACTTTCCAAACCACCTTGGCTTCCTCTGTTGTGGTGCTCTGTAATCCGACGTCATGATTCTGAGCAAACATCTGAACGCCGTACAGCATGCCTTGCTCTGCAAATGCCAACTGGAAAAATGGAGGCACTCCGTTTGACTACCACAGGTCATAAGAGGAGGTTGAGAAGGATTTGAAGGAATGTAAGAAATTAAGCCCCATTGCTATAGGCCTTAACGGCAGATCTAAAAACAAAATTTGGGGGAATTTCTTTATGTAAACTTATTGCCTTTCTCAGGGGTGAAGCTAAATTTGGGGGCTTTCTAGGCCTACACAATTTGGGAACAGAAGATTGCCTTTATATCAATTTTTTCTGATGTCTACAAAAAGAAGTTGTTGGGGGGGGGAGCGTCGTCCCGTTGCCCTCCTCCCATCTGCCAGTGATTGCAATGTGCTTTTATGAGGGGCGTCATGCTCAGCAAAATGTTGGCCTACTGATATGGACTGAAGTCTGAACAAGAAATGTGCCATTGCTTTCCTGTGCACGTGCAGTGGTCGATTTTCGGAGGACTTAAGATGGTTCCTAGTAAACAAAAATGAAAAAATTCGGGGATTGTAAATTTGGGGACCCTGTTCCTATAATAAAAGGGAGAGTTACATTTTAACTTTTGAATTGACCTTGGTAGATGACTGTGATATCATGCTCAATAACAGTAGGGTTAACCATGTGTTTATACGCAGAGCCAGGGTGCCTGGTTTTGGACAAAAGAGCTGGTCTGTGTAACAAAAGACTGTACTCGGAACAGAGGACCTGCTACTGGGAATTGCCATCATTTTTCGCCTTCCATTTTTAGAAGGTACTGTTTTGGGCACAGTGCGCCCGCGGATTAGCACCGCGAACAAAAGTGCTCCAGGGCCCCATTAATGAGTGACACAACGCCACTGCTCGCTAATCCAGTCGCGTATGAAAAGACGCTACTGGCATTCACTGGAACAAAGGAAATTATGCAACACCTCACAATTCTGGGCTCTCTTTTACAGGGCTGCAGGCCTGGGCTGAATACTCGGGTGACAATGAAGGTTGCCTGACAGACTAGAGTAGCCACCAGAGAGTCGTTCGTGTGGGTGTAAACGTCCAGTAAATGAACACATGAATTTTTGAAGAACTTTGAAAATGGAAAATCTAGAAAAAGTCCCTTCATCACATCCCGCTCAAGAGAAATCCACCAGGCAGTTAGTGGTTAATGTTGTCAAAAAAGGACAGGGTTTAGAATTTTGAGGGAAATTTTGAGGGAAACTATGTGTTTCAATTAATACATGACACATGGTGGATTCAAATTTGCATGGTTAGTTTATCAGTTAAAAAGTCACTTTTACAATTTACAATTTGAAGTTTCAAACAAATAGGGTCAGCACAATAAAGAGAGTGTTGCCGTTCTTTTTTGGGGGGCCTTACCAGTTTTGCGCGCAAGATCATGAAGATTAAAATGTCAGAACACTGGGGTCCCCAACTAACAATCCCCAAAGTTCCAGGTCTGAAACTCTTTCCACAGTGGACATTTGATCAGTAGCTTCGCTACCTAGCCTCCCGATCCTACATGTGTACTCTCCCCTCGCCCCACTGGCACTTGTGTTGCTGCATGAACGCTGCGGAGCCACCCTGTAAAAAAAAACCAATCAACACAATCGATGGCTAATGGTCAAACACACGACACAACCAATTTCCTTACTGCTTTTGAGTGGCCCTTAGACCTTGTGAATAAAGGAAGTCCTCCTTCATTTGTGAGACACACAAGATACACTGCTGCGACACCATCCATTCTCATTTTGTTCAGCTTGACGTCTCAGCTTAAAAAGTGTTTTGGCCCGTTTTTGGCGAGTTTGTTTGACAAGACAGCGCCATCTCGTGAGTGGTTTGTCGACATTATAGCCTGGCTCCATTCACAAAACATACTGGTAGTACTGTACCACGATTGAAGTCTAGTAACCGAATAGTCATTTTCATCCGCGTACGTACATAACGTACGTACGTGTACGATTCTGAACGACGGAACGCTAGCTGCGTGTACTTTGAACATTTTTTCAGAACTTTTCACCCGCTTAAGATGTCCAGAAGAAATAACCGGAATAGGGATGGGGGTCGCAGTCAGCAGTACTATGGTGAGTGTGGAAATATTAACGATGTAATGCACGCCATCCTGCTGGCTGGCTGTAGCTGTAGGCAGGATCGACAGGCATGGCCATGGATGGGCATGATGTCGTTGATGACGCGTAGCCGTAGCCATTGGTCAATTCGGTCATGTTACACTTCTTGTTGGTAGCGGTTCAGTGGTGCAGTCTTGACCAAAGATTGTATAGTGCTGCGCAGCCGTCATGGCGGTACAAGAGAACTCCACAATGAATATGCGTAAAACATACTAATTGCCTGGGTACCACGCACGCACACGTGGCATGCCTGGTGTGATGTGCATTAAGGTGCACTGCACTGGCTTGCTTGAATGATGCCCATGGTGTAGGTATGCACAAACACGCCGCGTGCGCAACCTCAGAAAGGTGCCCACACAAGTGTTAGCCCGATTCTCTGCCTGCAGAAGGTGTGTCTGGATTTTGTGCTGCTGATTGGCTGTTGTAAGGAGTCTGGCGGACAAATTAATGAATATATAATGAGAAAAACACGAAGTACATGTACATGTACACATTCTTTTTCAAAATTTTCCGATCGACCTCCAGGAAGTGCCATTACGGTGTCGCTAAAGTTCGAGCTCGAAATTCTGCCCAACCAATCCTAGTTTGTAACAAAGCATTGTCATTTTAAGGGGAATCGTTGTGAAACATAACTCTTGAGCTGTAAGTGGGTGTGATTTGAGCAAATTCTGAAGCTTTGAAGGGCTGGGGTGTTTTCTTATCGGACTGCGGGGTGTTCAGTCCCATGTTTTGCAAGCGCGCTGTGCACGCCATCTTGCCATGATTCATGACGGCACGGCCGCGTGTTGAAACGTGCTTGTGTGTCACTTGCTTGCAATGTTTGTGTCATGCTCATGATGTAGCTGCCTACAAGAATTGAAGAAATGAAGAACTGATCACAAAGTGCTTTAGAGTTTGCTTTTATTTTATTGAAATTTGCTTTCTAACGGTATATACATGTAGAATAGCCTATGTTCAAAGAAATTGATGCATAACGCAAAGCAGGTCACAGTTTTTCAGAAGATTCCTATGTTATTCAATATAAATACGGAGGCACAAAATACGCCCGTTTAAAATCCTTTTTAAAAAAAATCACAACTCCGCAACCCAACATCGCATAACATTGCTTTTGGTATCATTAGAAAGCTTATTGTAAAACTTATCTTTTGGCATGTGTTACATCTAAATATCAGACTAACTTGAAAATAATTGTCACATGTCTACATGGTGATTACACCTTTTTGGCAGTGTTCTCCTTCTTGTGCTGCTTTGCGGTGCTATATGATCTTTGGTCTTGACCGTGTTGGCAGTAGGGGTGTGCATTTTGATTACAAATTGTGTGGGAACCAGGTACTGTACATGCAGGGGTCAAAAATAACTTGAATTTCATGCTGGCCAGCAGGACCACCATTTACTGGTCCTGCTGAAAATCTGGTGGTCCTTGGTACTTATCAAACGGTGGTGTAAAACTGCATCCTATTTCTTCCTGACATTTTTGCCTTTCAATTGTGGTTGTTTGTATTGCTTGCGTAAAACTGATTAGTTGATCAACCCTTCCAACTGCCATCATCTAATTTTAGTCGAATTTAATATGTGCCACACTTTCTATAAAAAAGACACGTTTCCATTGCCTTCCTCACACAATGAATTGAAGTTCATGTATTCATATCAAAAATTGAGAAAAAGGGTTTCAGTGCATGAAAAAAACAATAACCAAAACCATTTAGCACGGCGCAGTACAGCCACAGATTGGTCTTCTAATTACCATCTGAAATGACACACGGGAACCAGTTCGGGCTGGTTACACTACAGCCGTACGAACGTGAACTATGCATGCGTGATCAATCAATTGACCACGTGCGGATACATTCTGCATGCTTGGTGTACATGTACAGTACGTATTGGGCAACTGTACGTTCGTGGTTAGAGAAATCTCCGTGTATACATCATGTGCGTTTTGTACTGTTGCCAACTGGGAAACTATTTTCAACGATGGCAAGTATAGTGACCATTATATGCCACGTTGTTTTGAGAGAATAAAAAAACACAGTGTGACATGGAATTTATTTACTAAGACCATTCATTTGCACTGGCCCGCCAGACCATCGGGTTTGGTGGATCTGGTGGTCCTGATGATTTTTTACTGGCCTCGGACCACCAGACCACCGTTAATTTCGACCTCTGACATGTACCTGATTCCCGTAATGGGCAGGTACCCGGGTACCCACAAGTATTAAAAAATAACAAAGTACACGTTAGTCGAGTAGTTTCCACCATGTCCTGGTCCCCACCCATTCTATTGAGGCTGCTAGATCGAGTGCTGCATCAGCATGACTGGCACACTCACACAGGCACGAACTTGGGAACTGAAGTTGCACAGGACTAGTGTGAAATAAAATACAGTAAAATCTCAACCACCTGAATCTCATGGGGAACAGCTTGAAAATTGAGTTATGCTAAACTCGAACTTACCAAAGGTCCTGGGTCATTGAGTCATACCAGATTTTCACATGAGATACGTAATCGAAATTAACTTGCTCCACAGTGGTATGTTTGTGTAGTTAATTTTCTTCAGTTTATAAATTATATTGGTGAATAGTTCTGCACATGAGTTATCATTTTCTGAGATTTTATGTTACCTAGAAGTTTCTTTCTTCAGGTAAACCAAGCAGTAAACCACTTTAATGTTGTACCTTCATGGGGCAATAACTTCTCTGTCATTTGATCTATTGTCATAACAGCTTGAGGCACAGGGCATAGTCTGGGCATGTTTTCACTTAGGCTTTCCATGTACATGTACATACAACCACGTGACCTTTCCTTCTGCTGCCGCAGTCAGCGATTGGACTGCCTGTGCTTAAGCTACAATTGAGTCCCCAGTAGCTATCAGGCTTTCTTGAAAGTGCAGAATTTGTTGCATATATGGGTTGGTTTGGCTTATTCAGCGTGCATACGAGTGATCCCAGAAATGTATCCTGTTTCCCTGTACATTCTACAAAATGAGGAAACCGTCCTACCCATTTAACATCATTTTACTTGTTGTTTTCATTTGCTTTGGTTTGTTGTTGATTCTGCAGTTTCTGTCATTCCCCATTATTGCTATAGTTTTACCTACATGTATAGTACATGTACATGCAGGCCTATGTCATTTTTTCTTGTTTCGTCTTTAAATTCATTCATGCATTCAAGCATGTTTATGAAACTGCATTTAGTAATGTGATACATGTACATGTAACATTTTATGTGCCATGGTGGCTGGATATGGAACTGTTTCCTTCACAAATTTAGGAACACTAAAAAGAACAACACAACTTTGTTCAGATTTGCATTGACAGCAGGACCTCCATGCGTATAAAGCAGCAACCCCAAATATTGTGTAAAGCACATGTACATTGTATCCTGATGCCACTTAATACTTCGGCCTGCACAAGGCCTGTAGAGAGTAGACAACCAGCTCAAATTATTTTCTAATAAAATTTGAAATCTCCTCAGTCTCAGATCAGTGTCTTATGAGTTTATTTTTGGGGGGGGGGTGAACTAACCTGTAATGGAGATATAAAAAAAGAGTAGCAGTATTTTGCCCCACTGTTACCTGCATTGTTTCCAGAAAAGGTTGCAGTATGAAATCAAAAGTTTTCTCAAAATGTGTATATCCATACATACCTGTGGCTGACCCTGCAGGGCCCTGATGACTTACAAGTCCAACATCACACATCTCAGGCAGAAGAAAAACCTATGCTGGAGTTGACAAGTTGTGAAGATAAAAGTCACTTCTACCCATCGGAAAGCAAGTTGGAGTGACTCATTTTTTTCCTGAAAGGAATATTCAGGACACTTTGTAAAATGTCACCAGTTTGACGTGCGCACGATGTACGTGTACCTTCCTAACATACAATACAAATGGCAACATTTCCATGGAATGTATTGCTTCTTCAAACATAATTTGCCACAATGTCAGTTGCCACCCGTACACTCATTCCCAACTACAATTGGGCCAGCCTTACCACAACTCTCCAAAATTATAGTCAAGACCATTTCTACAGCTGGGATGCAGCAGGATGGCATCACTGTAATTTCACGGCGTTACTTGTACATGTGCCTTTGTGCTAGGTCATGATGACCGAGATCAAGTAGGAGGTCACTGGAGGGGAGGACACCCTGGAGGCAGGAGCCATCGAGGAGGACGGGGAGGGCCAGCCGGCCGAGAGTAAGACAATCTTTATGAAGCAAGATTACCATCATTTTTCCCTAGTAACAGACCTCACGCAGTTGGCCCATGCATATTTTGTATAGGAGTCCTTGTTGCAGACTTTTTATATCCGGACATATATGTTCATGCACAGTGTATGTGTACGTAAAATTGTGTTTATTGTGTTGGTTTTCCTGGCTACTTCATCAAAGAATCATTAAGTTTAATGCGAGACCCATTCAAATTCGTTTCAAATTGAATACTCCTTGATAAGTGCATTTTAACATCAAAAAGTGTCATTCAATTTCATTTTTTGAACAATCATTCATTAAAACAATTGATTAAACTCAAAATTTCAAATAAAGATATACAATACCTGCTCAAATATTGTATTTCATCTACATGTAAATTGAACATTTCAAGTTTGAAATACATGTAGATTGACTGTTGGCCGAAACAAAGCCAAACATACAACACTTAAATGAATCTTAATGTGATAGCACCAATTGGTAAAAGGCAGTAGGAATTTAACTTACAACTTCTGAAAATGGAGATTTGAATTCCTATATCATAAAAATGAAAAAAAAAAAGAATTTGGCCAACTGTTGCACAAACTTGTTTGCACCAAAGTGACAATGAATGCGGTAATTGTGGAAAAGCAACCCCAGTATAAACAAACGCCAAAAATGTGCATGAATTTGACTGCATGTTGCCTTTTTGCTAAATTTGGCAGGGGAAAACCAATTTATAATCTGAACAATGCCACTGGTGGATTTTTTTAGTTTGAGATTAAAGTGCAGGTATATTAAAGTGCAAATATGTGTAAAAAAGTACATACAGACCTTGCACAAACTGTACATGGTTGTACATGTAACTTTTGAGAGAGTTTGTGTTTAATGAAACAATTTCCAATTTTCAGGAAGAACTTTCATTTTCTCAAAGTGCCAATTTTGGATATATCCTTTGCTGACAATATTCCCTTCCCTGAGCTAAATTTTAAAATTATATTTCCCTCTGTTCTTCTTTCCGTAGCAGGAACCAAGACAGTGGTCCATCAGGAGGCAAGTGGCAACGAGGTAAAGGTCCAAGGAGGGGTGGTGGACCAAGCGACAGAGGTAGATATCAAGGGCCACACCCTCGCTCCAGGTTTACAGATGACGACGGTGATGTGCAGATGGGAGATGCCGAGGAGGGCACCTCCCAAAGATTGTACGACTGCCTTTGAAAGTTTTGGCTGGTTTTGACTATTTTACATTCCTTTTCAATTAAGTCTTTTGAAAATTTTCCTTTTTTACAAGTTTTAAAAGTTGTAATTTTCTGGACAGCTGAAGGTACAATGACATCAATCATAGAAGACATTTATGGGTTTTCCTATTACAGTTGTGAAACCAAAATGTGCTCAATAAAAGCATTTCTGATAAAGTGTTGCTCAGTGATTCAATGTATGTTCTTATGGAATGATGAATCCAAAACGAGGAAATTTAGACCAGTAAAAAACTTCAGCATTTGTTTGTGCATAGATTATGTAATATTGAGGTTGTCTTCATTGGATGATGTCACAGTTTTATTCATGAATATGGAAATCTCACTAGCATAAAATTGTAAAAGGCACCAAAACAAACTTTGAAAGTAAGGTTTATTGAGACACAAATGTGCATTTTCACGAGTTGTTTGAAAAAAATGCATCGCATAGACCATTTAAGTTTCTTGTTTTCCCATACCTCCCAGCAACCCCTACGGACGGCCCAACAGCAGGCGAAAGAACCGCCCCAACAACCGAGACTCCAGGGGAGGTGGCGGGGCCAGAGGGAGCGCCTCGTCCATGGCCAGACTGGGCCTACCGATCAACACAGGACACAAAGACAGGGGGGCAACTGGACACAACAGGCCCAGTGATGGCAAGGGCAAGAGAGCTGGACAGAGTTGGGCAAAGATCATTGTAAGAAACCACCTCATAATTCATTAGGGACAAATTGCAGACAAGTTGCAGGTGGAGTCATTCACATCACCGGCAAGAAGCTCTGCTTTTGCCACAGACATGATCCTGATAAATTCAGTAGATACCACAGCTTGTTCCGTATGAATTTTGATGTGGCTCTTAAATTCACAAACTTGCTTGAAGTAATTTTTTGTATCCACCGTAACTCCACTTCATGAACCCTCTGAAATCTTCCTTTAATACTGGAAACAAGTTTTTGCATTTCTTGTACTGTAGCTCTTAATCCTGCCCAGTCATCTGAAATGTACTTTCTGAATCTGAACGGTCCAGGAAAGGTTAGGGTTAAGCATAACTGATGGGTTCCGTCTACATCAGAACGTAGTAACTTTAGACAATATGTTAGATACAGATGCTGAAACAAGTAAATGCAACAGAATACTTCCAAACCAGGGCCATGCACAATACAAGACCAATTAACCCTGAAGCCAAGAAATGACTAAAAAAATTAATCATCAAGTTCTGAAGTATTGACAGATAGGTGCCATTTCGAAGCCATCCTGCCTGTATGTGAGCACATGTTGAAGTTGTTGCAGTGTCAGATGTTATCTTGGCATTTCTGAAACAGGTGTAGTAACTTGAACACTGCGTTTGATTTCAGATACCCTATGGAAAAAAGGTTGAGAAAGACTGGCTCCTCACCAGTTTACAGAATCTTTGCTCCGTCCCCTTCATACCATTTGAGGTGAGTTTTATGTATACCAGTCAGAGGACGTCAGTAAAATTGATTTGGCAGGCCGGTTTTCTCACTTCACATTCCATTGTTTTTTGGCCCTACTTGCCACCCCATGTCTTGCTGTCCCTGGTTTTTTTTTTCCTTTTTTGCATCACTCCCCAACTGCCTTTCCTTCATTCTCCTTTTATTTGTACCTCGTGCCTGTTCGTCATCAATCATTTCCATGTCAGTGTTGCCCTCAAGAAAGTTCTCTTTTGGATCAAAACATCTGGCTCTTCAGTATCTCCTGTTGGAATATTCAGGGCACGCCCTGTTAGTAAGCAGCTTAATTCAGCTGTCTATAGAGGGTTTGCATGGCTGCCACCATGCCGGCCAATGCTTCTGGTTCACCGGGTACGCACAAAGGAGGTTCCCATGAAATAAAGGAACTGTCCTGCAAGATGGCTACTATGCAAAGCTTTTATTTCACCAGGTTCCAGAAGGATTAAGGAAATGGGGGTGGACCAAACAGTGGCATTTTCCAAAGGGTTGGATCCCCTTACATACTGAACTGTCACAGCATTATTGCTCTGACCCTGGCAGCATCTAGCCACCTGTTTTGAGAATAGACACAGACAAAGTTGGGCAGACAGTTTTTATTTGTACATTTACAACCCCCCCCCCCATATTTTACAGAAATCTTTAAAACTGATGTGAAGTTCTTTATGCCTACAAAATTAGGGTACAATGTAAGTATGACCTCATATAGCACCAAGGAGGATCAGTGTCAGATCTTGCGCCGGGAGTGGACAGGCAGTTTATTGAGCCAAGATATTTCAATTGTAGATAAAGCCCTGCTCTGACCTCTGCCATCAACCCTGTAGCGTTGAAGACTTGTCAATGTCAAGACAGCAGTCTGATGCAGTGAACTTAGGGAGTAGGGAGAAACACCAAGACCAACAGACCACAGTAGTGAGACGTCATTGTGAACCAGAAAGTGCAGTGCAAAGGAACGGAGTATGCTCATGTGTTGGTTCACTCACTGGTTCTTGAGCTGATTGCCTTTTGCGCATATAATTGTGTGTGTGAAGTATTCCCTTTGGTACTCCGTAGCAACCAGAGAGATTTTGAATGGATGTGAGGCTGTTGCCTGCTCACATGAGACAGGACAGGCTACCAGTCTGCTATGTAGTGAACTGCAGCATGTAATTAATGTTCATCCCTTGTTGTTGTTTCTTCACAGTTTCATTATGAAGGTGAGAGGGCGATATTCCATGTGGACGATGTAACAACGGGCAGTGCGCTCAAGGCCATCAGCAATCGCATTACAACCAAAACAGGTCACAAGGTGGGTTGCCCTAGTATCAGGAGAGCTTTATATATGAGTTTGTTTTCAAGCTCTGTGAGCAAAGAGTAGCCAGTAGTGTTCTTGTGCCGATGTCATGTTGAAAGCATCCTCACGTGTCTCCGCAGACATTGAGTATTGGTAGATTGGTAAACTTTGTTCCAGAAATTGTGATGTTAATGTTGGCGTAGAAATAGTCTGTTAAACAAGAGAAGTCCAGGAATTATAACTGTGGTCTTACATTTTCATGTCCATGTACATGTAGGTTGTTGTGATTTCTCATCCTTGTCAACCCCTGGCTGTGCTAAAAGGCGACGATTTTGAGGTCTTGAAGGTGTGCCTGAGTGACCGCTACGATCCATCTACCAAGGCCCTCAATTTAAGCAACTTGATTGATGACCAAGGTATGTTCCCGCGAAGGTTTGCTTCCTACCCTGCGCCCATAATGCCGATCCCCGTGCACTAACTGGCAATCCCTTTATCCCCGGGCAATCCCCCCCGGTGGAATGTTGTTCCACCTGGTGCCAAGACTGCTCTCATGGTCCAAGCTGAACGGCTGCAGAATGAAAGCGATGCATACAGGACAGCATGTCAACAACCCCACCTGGGGCGATTTGTGCAGCAGCGAAATCCCGATTGAGTGGTGTGCATTCCTGTTAGCAGTAATGTTCCTTGGATAGATTTGGGGAGAAAAAAAGAAAAGGAATAGAAAAGAATCGCAACACCTGTAAGAATTGTTGACCTGTTTTTTCCCCACAGCTCTCAAGAGCAAAGGTGTGTTAGGCATCCTCAGCAGAAATCACATCATGGAGGCTGTCATCAAAATCATCTCCGAGAATATCCCAGAGGTAGGCCAATGTAATCGATTGTCAACGCCTCTAAGCACCTTGTATCAGAAGACCTTGAGCAATGGCATAGTTTGAATACACTGGCCTCTCAGATCTTGAAATTTTGTTCCGTGTTGTTCCCAGGATGCTGACGCATATTGGAGGAGAAATGGAGGATTTGTACATGAAACCAAGCACTTTTTACAAGGTCCATGCAGTGAATTTTTTTCTTAGGCACACGTTGTGTTCAGCTTTATACTCGTCTTCAGTGCATTTTAAACTGTTCAGCTTCCATTTTGGGGTTAAGTGTATTGAAAAGTGCACTTTGTTCAATATTTGAAATCGTCCAACTTTTCTGGGCGCACTGTTGCTGTGATATCAATCAAGGAAGACATTGCTGAAAATCAGGTTGATTTTACACAAAGGTGCATTTTTATGGATTGTGTATTAAAATAGTTGCATTGCATAGACCCTTTAAATTCTACTCTTAGGGCTAATACGGCTCATGCGAGTTTGTGATGTTAGAACATATTTTGAGTTGTGAAATTTCAAAAGCAGAGCACACTTCAACTCATGTGGATCTCACCACACATGTTTGGTCATATCAAATTTGCATTACACTCGCATTTTTCCAATAAAGTATGAACTCGCCAGGAATTATGGGGAGGGAAACATTCTCAAAATAATTCCCCCAGCAACTTTGGCAGCTTTGCCATCATAAACTCACCGTGCATCATGCTTTTCGTACCTACCGTCGGCGAGCCCTTCCTCATGTCTCCAGTTTCGTTTGCAGGTCCTGTCCATAGATATCAGCCACAACAAACTGTACAACTTGAAAACGTTTGGCAAACTGGCGGAGAAAGCCTGCCAGCTACGGAGTCTGAATCTAGCCAAGAACAAAGTAAGATATTCCCAAGATTTCCAGATTTTTATCAGTATCGGTGTGGTACTGAGTAATCATTATATGTGCTTGACATTGCAATGGTTTTTATAGATTGTTTACTCATTTTGGGAAAGCTCTTAATTTCAAGTAATCTAACCCGTTGCTTGGACCAAAAGCTGATAAAAGAAACTAAACTGATCCCTGCATTACAGAGCGATTTTCCTAACCCACAGTACAACCAGATTTCATTGTTTTGCTATGGGCCTCTAGCTGGACCTGGAGAGGGCACAATTTTCTTAGGAACGGAGGCTCCTATGGTTGGAATTCACTAAGCTGGTTCACGAATGACTATGAAATATGTGCGTTACAGTTGCATCACTGCCAACAAATGAACATTCCCAACCAACATGGCTCGGCTCTTTTTCAACCGATGAGGGGGTGCTTCTGCTCAGGGTGGATAAACCTTAACCACTTGCTGCCGGGTGCTTTTAAAAATGCAGTGCACACATATGGGCGATTTTCCAGATTTTCAGTTTTCAAAATTCTTCAAAAATATATCATTTCATTGAATGGACCATTACACCCACACAAATGACTGTTTGGTGGCTACTCTAAGCTGACAGGTAACCTTCATTGACTCTTGAATATTTCAGCCAGGCCTGTCGCCCTGTAAAGAGAGCTGAGAATTGTGAGGTATTGTGTAATTTCCTTTGTCCCCAGTGAATGCGAATGGGGTCTTTTCAAACGCGGCTGGATTAGCATGCAGCGGTGCTGTGTTGCTCATCAATGGGGCCCTGGAGCACTTTTGTCCGCGGTGCTAATCCACCGTGTGCTGTGCCCAAAACAGTGGTATACTGTAATAGGGATGGATTACCAAAAAATGCAATCAAAAAAATGATGGCAATTCCCAGCAGCAGGTCTTTTGTTCTGAGTACAGTCTTTTGTTACACGGACCATCTCTTTTGTTCCATTTCGGGCACCCTGGCTCTGCATATAAACCCATGGTGCTCGAAACAGGGTTCCCCGGCAGCAAGTGGTTAATGGCTTTGTCTGGAAGCATATTCTAGGCTTTGGTGGATGATGAACACACCTTCGCCTTTTTTTTTAATTTTCAGATTCGTGGCATTTCAGAACTGGAGCCCATCAGAGAGTTCAGTAAGCTGGAGGAGTTGTTTCTACAAGGCAATGAAATAGTGGAAAAGCCCAACTACACAAGGTAAAGCTTCGGACAAAATCTGTTTGTTCTCAGTGCGGAACCAGACTGAGGCATTTCCCACAGCCTGGACCAGTTGTAATGTCACAAATGCTAGCCTGGGCACTGCTCAATGTCTTAATACACATGGACGTAGAGTCAAGCCTTGGCCAGCACCTTGTCTCTATGAATTGTAACACAGGGTCAACTATTTGAATATGCATACAGGCGCGTGCAGTTGAGATCCGAGTTGTGCACAGTGAATGTGGTCAGACCGGTGGCATATTTGCATAATAGAATGCAGCTGTAGCTTTATGCAGTTCTGGGTTACAGGTACATTTCTGAGTCTGTGGGTTGCTTACTAGCTAGGATAGCATAGAGGCATTTATCAGCTGAGATGTTGATCAGCTGCCAAGTTCTGGTGAAAATTCCCTGTTGGTATCTCAGTTTGACACTTCCAGATTTAGAAGCTTATTGCCGCATTCAGGCATTGCGTCCACCCAGGACTCCATCAGACTCAACCACTAAACTAGTGATTTATTATACTCGAAATGATTTCTCACTTTTCCCACTTGTAAAACCGTGGCCTTAAAACTTCCTTCTTGCGTGTCAAATGAGAATGAGACTTAGAAAGTTAGTTACTACCTGAGTTTTTGTTGTCGCTGGTGTGGTTTCCAGATCAGTTTAGATGGTTTAGGTTGGATGGGGGGTGTTAGTTTGTGTTCTCTGCACTTGCAATTTCATTGTTTTTGTCATTGTGTTTGCAGAACCCATCGGATTCTATAAATGTAAAGTCTCTTTCAGTGACAGATTGGTCACTTTAACATTTGTGGCAACCACCCCCTTGGAATTAACAATTTACTAGGAACCAGTTGATTGATAAAATTGATCAGCGTTTCTTAAATCCATTCAGTTTCCTTCACAGGTTGGAGAGAATCAGTCAGATCTTTTCTTGCTGATCAATACTTTCACTATTAAACACTGTCTGAGGATTCAGTTTAGTTATCTAAGATTGGACTTTGCTTGCTTTCCCCTGAAGAATTTTGAAAAAGCACAAACAGTCTGGTTCTTGGTTTATCAGCTGACACAAATAAGTTGAGTAGTAGACCTTAGGACCCAGACCAAAGGATGGACCAGCAACATTTCAGAAAGAGCCCTCCTTGTTTGCTCCCTAGCGTCTTGTTGTTTGCTTGTTAAACTCATCATGTTATAGAGAGTTCATTTTCCTGTCATTGTGTGTCCATTGTGGTGTTGCTTGTCTTAAGGCATTTCTCTATTTCATTATCACAAATAACAACTGAATAACACATCTCCTAGTTGCTGATTTTATGTTGGGGAGGAGGCTCGTTCTTGTATTCTAAAGTCAATGCTTACTTGCCCTTTTTTTTCTGTCTGCTTATCCATCTCCTGCCACAGCAAAGTGCTTTTCTGAGCATGTTTCTTTGGGGGGGAGGCCTAATTCACAATATTTTAATGTGACGGCTGCCGTTAGTTTGAATGTATCTTCAGCAGAAAGAAGACTAGTTCTTTCACAATTTTATGAGATCTTTGAAGGTCTCACACACAAGATGAAAATCCAGAGAAAGATGCCTCCTCTTTTTAAAGTTGCAAATGTACTTGTACATCTGTCATCAGTGGCAAAAGCTGATGTGCTGTGGTGTTCTGTACTTGAACCTTACACATCCAAATGGCTTTGGATCATTTGTGCTGAGCACTTGAGTTTGACATTAGCTTCCATCAGCTTCTGACAACTTGTCTCAGTATTGTTTGCTTGAAAACACCCAATTCTGAAACAAAACAGATGTTTCACATGGGCAGCGTGGGTTGCACTTAGCCCGAGAGACTTCTTAAATGAGCTGGAAGTGCCAAGCGCATGCTTGGAGCTGGGCACGGCACTCAAAGCTGTGCTGTTGCAACCCACCTCTCCCCTTTGGGGATATTAACAAGACAGGATTCATGAAAATCCTGACAACACGTAGCGTGCCTCTGTCGGCACTGCACGCTGGGCCTCGCGAGGGTCCTGTTAGCCAATGACGGGTAAGCTCTGGCCACAGGCAGACAACCTAAGCCAGGCGCAGGACCCGGCAGCCCTGCTGAGAGAATGAGTCGGACTTCCGACGGGCCAGATGATTGCGGCCTGCGACCCAGAGAGTCTGCCATCAACAGTTTGAAAAACAAAATCTCGCAAATCTCGCAAACAAACTTTGCTCAATGAGATTTGACTTTGTGTCATCAGGTTGCAGCTTGGACATATTTGTCACTGATCAAGTCTCCTCTGGAGGAATAACAGTTACTCCAAGATCAAATCCTGTTTGAGGAGATACAGAGAACAAGAAACAAAGGACAAACACTGATAATTTGATTCAGTAGAAGTTTGTAAGATACGAACAGAACTTGAAAATTTCCCATCCCACGATGCATTTCTTTTAACTAGTTTGCAAAGTCACAATTCTGAGTTAACCTGTGAAGTTTTTTTTTCTTCTTCTTTGCCCGAAGCCACCGCTAAATGCACATCCCCGGCTACTGTGTCATTTTCTCTGCATGCCACTGCATGATTTGTAACCCTTTGTATCCATCACATGTATTCTGCACCTTTCTTCTTGTGCCGTGTGTTTTGTCCTGCCTGCTGCTAAGTCTGTTCACAGTTTTCTACCAAACCCACACTTTCTTGGAGATCCTCCCTCGCAGTTGTCACTTTTTGGTATTTGATGTTTAAGCCGTTACCTAGGCACGCCCAGGAGGTGGTAAGTATGCAGGGAAGCATGAATATGACCATTTCGTGGTTCACGTTCTGTTTATCATTTGTTCATGAGAGTTTTTATGACCATGTTTTTCCTTGCTTTTCCAAAATGTTTACAGTACAGTGTTCGTGGTGATGTAAATCATATCCCCCTCTTTTTACCGGGGGGGGGGAGGTTTTTTGCACATATTCCGTAATCTGTATTTAGACATGTTCTGTCACAGCATATTTGGGTGTGCCAGCTTGTCCTCTCTGGCATCCAGTACTGGTCCATGACAATCACACTGTAACTGCCTTCTTGTGCTTTCCCCAAATGTGAATCGTCACTGACCCAAAAAATTATCAGAAACTTGTCAGACTGGTTCAGGTAATTTGAAGTTTAGGAAAGGTTAAGACAAAATCCATTAGTCTTTCAGTTGACCCATGAAATTCTGTCCAAGCCCTTATCACAGTCTTTATTCATAAAACTTTTCTGGAACTTTCCACACTTGTGCCGCGTTGTTTTTTTCATATCTTTTTCACTTGTCTCCAGCATTGTCCGGCAAAACTTCCCCAAGGTCATCCGACTCGTGAGTACATTTGCTTCCGTGATCTTACCAAGACACCTGACTCATCTTCAGAACCGTGTAATCGAGGCAGCCACCGATGTGAACAGCTCTCTATCAAAGTCTGGTTCCCGAAGTTCTAGAAAATAGATAGTTCGGATGCAGCCTAGTCTTGATTGACTGGCTCTGCTTTGATGTGTCAAAGTCTGTGGTTTCCTTACAGTGTCTGTAGAAGTCTCAGAATTTAGCATGATTTTGTCACATTCACTTGAAGCTAACAACTATATAAATAGAAAAAGTACCACAGAAAATTCCTTCATTCAACTTCAGAATAAACAAAACCTTCCCCTACGGGCACATGTTTGTTTTGCCCAAACTGATGAAACATCCACCCTTTCCCTCCCCCCAGGATAGGCAAGAACTCCCGCCGCTCATTGCCTTTGACGTTGAGTCACCCACAGTCTTGCCGCCAGTGCAGCACAGCTACTGCGGCAGCAGTCAGATCAAGAAACCGCTCTTAAGTTTCCTGGAGAAGTGAGTATGAATCATAACAGGATGAGACAGCAACGAATACTCAGGATGGCTCCGGTAATAGAAGAAGCATGTTGCCAGCTATCTTTCGGAAATAGTGCCTTTAATAAACATTTATAAAGGGCAAATTTCATATCGTTGTGTTCAAATGTATTGTAGAGTGAAGACATTTAACTGTCACATTGTTGACCTGAAGGCAAAACAACCCACTTCTAACACAGGCAGAGATTGTAAGTGTTGATTTTTGTGAGGAAACTCGGAGAAAAAAAAATTGTGGCACAGGAGAGAACCGACAAAATCCACTCCATTCCTGTGTAGCGAGTGCTCGGTGCACTAGCTACCTATGTATACATTATGTATACAAGCTCACATTCTGTCCACCATTACGGGGACTGGGGGTCACTAACTGCTTCACTGATCAACATTCAGATTGGTTTTTGGTTTGTGTCCGGTTACTTATTCCTCCTATTTATTTCATAAATCGTCTTTAAATTATCTGAAATCCTAAGAACACAGGGAACCAGTGATCATATCCTTGAACAGACATGCAACTGTTTCTCAGATTAGCCAATTTCCTTTTTTGTTACTTTACAACAAAATCTCGTGCACTTGGGAATTTCCTCATGTTTTTCTGAATTGCTATTGGCATGCCTGTTTGAAGTTACCAAGTACTTCAGCACCAGTGGCCCAAGGCAATGGCCAAAGATTCTACTTATCTTAAAATCAATCTTTTGCATTGTCTTGAAATTATGAGGCAATGTGCTCAACAGACTCAAGATCCTGACATGTTGGCCTTTGTTGTTTGTAAAAGAGATTGTTTTTGTTTTCATTTTGCAGATATTTCACAGTATTTGACTCGGGCGACAGACAGTCGTTCATTGAGGTTTACCACGACCAGGTAAGTCTGATGTATTTTTTCAGTCATTCAAGGTCATTGATAAGTGGTATTTTCATGGAAATTTATTCTCCCCCCAAAAGTCTTGATCAGCTTTTTTTATGAAGGCATATACAAGTCTGCAGTAACTTTCAAGACTTGCTTTTGCATGACGGGGGGGGGGAGTGAAAGATTCTACTTTTACAAGTCACCCGTAACTTTATAGGTTTGTGTTAGAAGGTTTAGGAAAACAAAAATGTGCTGAGAATATCAAACACATCTTTATTTATACTGTGATTTCTCATTCAGCAAATGGCAGAGGTCAAAAGTATTTTATATCCAACTGAAGTTGCATTAAGTATACCTTGACCTTGTTCTAGGTCTAATGGAACTCAAACCTAAAGTTTGGGAGGTTTTGAGAAATGACCAGTAGCTTTTGAGCTTACAAACACAGATTGGCAAACTTACAAATTGGTCACATGGATTATTTGGGGACCCATTCTTAAAAAACATTACTGCGTAATTTAAAACTCATTTATGAAAATCAACAATTTCTTTGACCCATAATTTCTCGGTTCCAGGCCTGCTTCTCAATGATGTGTCAGAACTCACCTATTTCAAGCCCACACATTAGGAAATACATCCCCCAGAGCCGCAACCTACTCAGAATAAAAGACCTGAGTAAGTAGAAGTAATAACTACACGAAGAGTTCGTGTCCTCTCTCTTAAAAGAAATCTACAGAAAATTTATTTTTGTATCAAAGGTCTTATGAAGAACAAAACATGCTCATGTTTCCAGGGAGACTGTGATGTCATTTCTTAGAACTTATTTTTTGTGGAACCAACTGCACATATACGCAATGCAGATAAGGTGTATGTATACACGCATTTGTACATGTTTGATGGAATGGAATAAATGGGTAATGTCCAATAAACCTGACTTCAGACAAGTATGTGAAAACTTACAAACAGCTGGGAGAAGGCAGTTGACTTAAGCTGGGACAAAGATGAGCTTCTCAATCTCTGACAAATCATTGGATATGGTGGAAGTTTCAAGGGGTACCTGGTTTTGACATGTTTCCATAGCAACAGAGAGCTCCTTCAAACTGTTCAAGTCCACCAAAGTGGCGGTGGTAGCCCAGCTCAATGAGATGCCCCCGACGAAGCACGACACCAATTCATTCCAGGTGGATTTATCCATGGTACAGGTGAGATGTTGTGCAGTGTGTTTCTGGTAAAACCAGTGGGATCATACTTGGTGAAGATGTCCTCCTTAGTAAGGTTTTGCTAAAACCCAGATTGCTTTGAACAAGCTGTTGAAATACTCACACTCAGATATTCTCGCTACACTCGTACTCGCTCTTGTAGTAAAGTTAACTACAGAAGTGTAAGGACTTCTTTGCACTTGTACTTGGAAATGTATCTGACTGGATGACAACAAAGGAGTTGGTCTATTTGCTGTCTACTGCCTACAAAGCTGCTTTGACTTTTTCTTACTACACCAGCCCTAGCAGCCCCAGCAGTCCATCGTTTCATAGATTCACCAGGGAGTATCTACAGCATAATGCAAGTGATATTTGATTGTCAGGTTTTCATTGTGTGTTGACTGAGCCATTTGAAATCTTTCCCTTCTTTCAGGGCGACCTTATCTGTTTCACCCTGCATGGAATCTACAAAGAGTGTGAGTACATGGAAACTCTTAGACAGTTTCTCTTTGCCTTAAAACGATGAGGAACACAGAGAGTGTTTTGAGTCTTTCATGTCCAATCAGAATTTGCTTCTCATGTTTTTCTCATTGTCCATTTTGAACAATTATTCATTGAACTTTGAAGAACATGCTTTTTGAAAAAAGACTGTCTTGTTCATAAAATTTATACTGCTCTCAAAGTATAAAATGTTGATTGCTCTTGAGTTTAAGTGTGATTCCTTGAAATCTTGTTTATTTTGTATAATCGGCCAAGCACGGCTTTCATAATTTCATAAATTTCTTCTCATTTACATTTTGTATTTGCGCATTGCTCTTTGTCAGAGAAATTAAATAAACATACCAACATATCTATACGATGTTTAAACTTTTCACTTGTTTCTCTTTTTGACGTGGTCTAGTCAGCAACAACAGGTCGTCATCACACATGGTTGCGTTCAGTCGAGTGTTCCTAGCTCAGATGCAGCCGCCGAAGCTGTGCATCATCAATGACCATCTTTCGATCAGAGAACCCACCCGCACTCAGTTGAAGGTGAGGCAGCACTAAACCTTATCGAGTCAGAACGATAACATCTGATATTGAACAAGTGAGGGCGGGAGTCCATACTGGGACAAATGGACAGAAGTCTGAATTTCATTTAACACCGGCATCATAACAATTACAAGTCAGTTTTGGCATTGCAGAGCACAATTGGTTGTTTTGAGGTGTCGGCTAAAATTGGACTACCTTCCAACAGAGCGCCCTCATTTTGACTTCTATTCATTTGAGTGGTCAGAATTTACAGAAATACCAGTCTTGGTTGCCGTGAGATTTTATCTTTATATGTACATTTGTCTTGTTAAGTTTTAAGAAGGTTGTATTTCAATTCAGCATTTAGAGGTAACATTTAGTATTTGCTGTTGTGACAGCTGCATGAGATTTTTTGTTACACTTGCTTTTGTACAACAGCCAGCCATGGTTTTGCCAGCCACGGTTTTGCCAGCCATGGTTTTGCCAGCCATGGTTTTGCCAGCCACGGTTTTGCCAGCCATGGTTTTGCCAGCCATGGTTTTGCCATCCACATCACTATGACATAGAAAACACAGACCACATTGGTAGCTTACAATGGGAAGTCATTCCAATTTCTTGACAGTTTAAAAGTTTTTTGTATCCATTGCAGGCTGCCTTCGCTTCGCCAGCCCCTACTCCTTCCACTAGTCCTGTGAACGTCCCCCAGGGTTCTTTGTCCCCTGGCCATGGCCTGAGTGCCCTGCAGCAGGAGATGGTGGCCAAGTTCATCAAGGACTCCAACATGAACGCCGAGTGGTCCATCAAGTAAGTGCTGGCAGTCTCAGCTATTAACGGGGGCCATTCCCAGCACACGGAACTGCGCAGCAGAGAAATATGCTGTGTGTTTGTGCAGAAACTTTCACAGCACAGAATGCTGTGTGAAAGAATCATATGGCACAAGTGGTTTGGGTTTCCTGCCCACTACAAGTGGGCATGTGCTCCCCTCCCTCCCCCCGAAGTCCATGCCCCTCCCCCGTGTACCATCATTTGAAATGTTGAAAACTACCCAGCCTACATTGCAAACTACAGATAAGGGAGCGTTTCATAATTGTTGAAGGTGGTATTTACTGCGGTACCGCTGGGTTTTTTTAGCGGCACCGCACTAGTTACCCGAAAGGGCTTAATGCTGGTACCGCAAAAATACAGCGGTACCGCAGTAAATACCGCCTTCTGTAATTATGAAACGTTCCCTAATGTGCTTTCAGTGCCCATGGAAGAATTGTTTGCACCCAGCTTGCCTTCGTCAAAATGTCATCCTAGTTAAGTTACCGAGTGGGATTGAGCCAAAGGTTGCCGTAGTTCTTGGGCAAGACACTTTACTGCAATTGCCTCTGTCCACCGAGGAGTATAAATGGGTAGCTATGAAGGCAGAAACCAGATGGGGACTGAAGAATATACTCCAATGTCAAAGTGCTTTCATGTGCACAAACATGTTTGGCAAGACCTGAAGGCTTTCATGGTGAAAGAACTATATGAGTGAAACGATGGCGGTTACACCGTGGATCAATCTCTTTCTTGAGTAGGTGTGGTTCCGAGAATTCCTCTTCTCAGAACCACACATACTCAAGAAAGATATTGATCCATGGTGTAACCGCAATCGTTTGACTCACAAACACGTTTGTGAACTTAGCTGTTTATGACTTCCTACTGTGTGTATGAATACAAGAGTCTACACCAGATTTGAAGCCGAGCAGTGGCCGAAAATTGGGGGGGGGGGAATCGGCAGCCTAGCCTAGAGTGTGCATTCAAAAGGAATCTCATTGCAGCCCCATTTGTTATTTTTTTCTTTCAGATGTCTGGCAGAGAATGAATGGGACTATGAGAGGGCAGGCGTGTCATTCACGACGTTGCAAGTAAGTTTTCTGTGTGTTTTCAGTTAGGGAATGTGTCCGCAGAGACATTAGAAATTGCACAGTGCCAAAATCTGACACATTTGGTCCACCATGTCATATTGTTGAATACAACCGTAGCTCCAGTCTGCTACAGTCTCAAAAAGGATGAATGTGGATGATTTTTGGATGTAAAACTTGACAGTATTTGACATTTCCACGGTGGAGGATTTCAGGGCATGTTTCTCAAAAGGAACTCTGACCTCGGACTCATTTTATTGGGTTGGTCACATTTATACCAAGCCACATCCTATCGGGCAATCAGATTGTCAGAACAGTTACGTATCTGTCCTCTTTTTTACATTTGTAGTGGCTGATATGTTATTGTTGTCATGTTTTCCGTTTTCAGTGTAGACTATGAGAGTGTCATTAGATGCAGGAGTTTTTCTGCTTGAATTTCATTTTTAGAGTTGGCATCGTAAAGAATTTATTGTTATGTAAAAAAGATTACTGAATCTTCTTTCTCTTTCATTTGGCCATGTATTTTTTCCAGACTGCAGGCAAGATACCAGTCGAGGCTTTCGTCAAATGAATCAAAGAATTACGAAGAACGCATGGATGAAGAAGAGGTGATCTGACAGCTGTCTATTGTTCAATTTGTTGCCAGTTGTTGATACTGAGAGTTACATTGATAAAATGAATGTAGCAAAATGAAGCATATGGCAATAGAGCAACGACAGAGACGTTTGTGGGGCAGGCCAGATTTATGTTTGAAGTTTGTTTTTTGGGGGGAGGGGCGGAAGGGAAGGGCAGGGTTGAGGGGTCGGTTTATGGTGGGGGGCTCACCTTTGGGAAGGGGGTAGGATAGGGATTAGTTTGGTTAGGGGAGGGGTCCACAAGTTGGGGAAAGGATTGGGCTTGGAGTGGGAGATTGTAGGTTGCAGAGGAGTGGATGAATCCTTGTTGATGAGTGTCCTCTTTGCTGTGCAAATTGAAGTAAGTCTGAGTTGTGAGTTTCAGCAGCCTTTTTCTTGGTTTGTCTTTGGGATTGAAAGTTTCAAAAAATGACCATTGCAATGATTTACCGTATTCTTGTAAATATCCGGATAAGATATGGCCTAGATGGACACGGATACCTATTATTGAACTGGAAATCTTCATATTCTAGTGTTGTTATTGTGCGATATGTAAGATTTTTTGTCGCATTCATAAAACATTGGAAACTGATACCTGGTGATTGGATGACATGGTGATTGGATGACACATCTCGTTTGAATTCCTTTTAAACATGGAACAACATAAAAACGTAAAACATGACAATTAGTTTCAGACAGATTTGGTCAAACACAGTTAAGGGCAGAGGTCAAGATGCAGACAGTTCACAAAGTGTCCAACGGTTGGTGTTAGTCCCTCTTGAAACCATCCACCATTGGAAGGCAATCTTTCCACAGTTGGAGAGGAACCATTCCCTTGCTGTTT